CCAAACCTGTTTCCGATTTTTTATTGGACGACAAGTAACGATGGCAAAGACTGCATCTTTCATCATATGGCGAACACTGGATGTTAGTAGCGTATTCAAAACTAGCTTTGAAGGAAATGATAAGTTAGAGAAAATATTTTCCATATACTCGTATTAACACTCGTCAATCGGTCAAAAACAGATTGACGATATTCTTTATATCAAGGCTCAAATGGATCGTGATTGAGTCATCATTAGCTCAAATAGTCATATAAAAACACCTAGCCTATCCACTGCAAAGTACTTTCGATTCTGTCAGTTTCCAAATCTGTGTGCATGTGCTGCATTTCGGGTAGCAATTACAGTATTTGCTTTGTTAGTCGCTCAGTAGATACGTTTGTGGTTTCAGTATGGTGTGGATGTTCCGTTTTAGTGTCATTACCTGCAGAATTCAAAGCTGCTAGACCGGATAACGTTAAAATTACAAGTATGTACAATATTGCTATTGGTGACTTCGGTCGGACGGGTTCCATAGGAGAGAAATGAGTAGCAATTATCGAATCTAGGTAATTTGACTCATTGGGAGCGATATCAAATTTTGCCTCCGCTAGGCGACACTGGTATGGTTCGAGGTCAAACTGTCAAAAGCAGACACGACATATTTGATAGAAAGGTAACCTATTCTTACGATACTTTTAGTATTCACATGAGCAGCTGATCATAAATTCACATATTTGTCTATTTATAATACAAACACTTATCATCACTTCCATCATTTCCAGCAGCTTGGAAAAGGGCATAGATCTCTCTAAAATCGATGATAGAGCTATATCTATCATGTCATTTTTTTGACCAAATGATTCTACATGATCACATTTATCCCTTGGACTGTAGCCAAGTTTCCTCTTTTAACATGGTTTTTTCAAAGGTGCTGTCACCAATTTGGATACTTCCACGCAGTTTCTCACTGATGTTTTGGGCGGCCATTCTATTCAGCAAAGTATCTAATTTTAGATTTAATGATTTAATGGTGTCTAACATACCTCAAGAATGTATAGCTGTATAGCAGCTTCAGGTTCCCACTTACGTCCCCTTCTATTTTTACTGTACATAAACGATCTGCCTTGCAACTTGTCTTAGTTGAATTGATTGCCGTGTTCTTGAGCAGAAAATTCATTCTATCTATGATTGGTGTCTATTTGACAAGCTGTTTTTAAATGTATCTAAATGCAAAGTTCTAACATTTTCATGAAAAAAGCAGGTCTACCAAGAGTTGACCAAAGAATTTGAGTGTATGGTTCGATGGAAAGCTAACCTTTAAGTATATCAACTCAAAAATAGCAGATACATTCAAATACGATGGATTTATAGTGAAGAACTGTAAAGGGTTCGGTGATATAAATGTTTTGAAAAAGCTATATTGCATAACAGGATAGATAATATTCACCTATTGTCACAGGTGAATTTCAATGCACCCCCGCCCAGGCTTCATGTTTCAAGTTAGACCGCCGCAAAACAAATGTATGATTATATTCTCCATTATCTTGCATGCAATCTAATTTTAATGTTATTAGTTACGTGTGTGATGTTAACGCTGATTGTTTAGTCTTTGTGCTAGATAAATCAGCGAGCGATATGCTCAGATGAATTACAATGTGTAATTACTCCTTTTCTCTATATCCTTTTTTATTTAATTTAGATATGTTGATACTTTTTTTTTTGTGGGTTCATAGTCTGTCCTGTGAATGGAATGAATTTCTGTTGGGCAATAAAGCATTATAATTATTATTAGTACATGATATGACTCCAAATCTGACTTCTACTTCTAGCTTTTCAGATTAACCCCCATTCTTAAAACTGCTAACGCTATTGCGAATTACAGTTGAAAAGTGACGTTAACAAACCTAGTTATCAAGCTAGCACGAATTAACGTTAAAGTTCGTGTATTGCGTTGTCTCTTTCAGCCATATTGCCACTGAGCCGTTGCCGACTTTCCGGAATCCCAAAAGGAGAATTGGTTTGATTAGATTCCGTACTTTTCGCTGCAATACTACTCTTTTCAATGCTTTCGTAATTTCATTTAACAGTTCCATGCCATAAGGGAGCAGAATGTAAGGGTCCCAAAGGCTACCACGGCACATTCTAGTCGAATGAACGGAAAATGCATTGGAGAGTTAGAGTCAATGTCATAGAGGATAGAATCAAGAAGATTGACTCGATATTTCTCGTATATTAATCTTCCATCGAATTCATAATACTGGATAAAAATGTAAGTTTCGCAAATCATATTATGAGTAAGCTGTTACTATAAATACAAATCGCTTTGGAAATATAAGACTGGTGAACTCATTTATCCTCACATATTTTTTAGACTGCGGCGTTGCTGTTTATTACAATTTTCTGAACGAAGAAATAACTGTTGCAAGAGGTTTTGTTTCAATGAGATCATCAGACAAGAACATATCTCTGGCTATTATTTGAGGGAAACGTTTTTAAGTTCAAATATCGCTCATTGCCTCTATGCCGGTTTATTATTTAAGATTTTGAAAAATATATCTACAAATTATTACAGTTATGTGGCTATAGGTTCTTGTATATGGTGCATACGATTTTCTCTTACTTACAAATTTCTAATGTATCCATATTTGCTACAATAGCTAGTTATTTTACATTATATTATGAAGTCAAATTTTTGTACTATTATGCACAAATATTCCAATAAACATTATTATTATACAATCGTGGATAATTCTAAACCTTTAAAATAGTTTTTCCAAATCATGGAGGCTCAAAATGCACAAGATGCCTAGTATATAATACAGTGTTCTTAAAGTTGGGACTCTCCTTTGCACAGCGTATGGTTCAATCAACAATAATAGAAATTTCCTATTGACACGCATACCAATGCTTCAAGATAGTTGAGCTACTAAGTTAAAAAAAATGTAAATGGGCCAACCTCGCCCGGCAACCAGCGTAAAAAGGTTCGACATATGTCAGTATCCAAATCGCGTTGTTAATCCAGCAGCTTGTTCATAAACGTATTGGCAAAAGCGAAATTGAAACATTGTGTTATCAATAATGAATTCATAAAATTGATATTAGCTAACGATGTCTGCATTCAAAATTCAATTCGCACTTGCTGAATGTATTCGTCATTACCTGGATGCTTTCACACCTTACAATGTTAGTTTGTTTGTATCGAGCAAATGCCGTGGAGGTGTACATGATAGAGGATCTAGACAGCTCCAAATTTTACAAATTCGGGGAGAGGTTAAAATACTTGTAATTTTGGAGCGAGCAACACTGTTAGGACACCCTTTATAGAAGACTATTTGAGGTTACCGTATTACCCAAAGGATAGAAGACTCTCGCAATACCACTAGTATTTTCAAGATTTACACCAAAACACAAATATCTAGGAAGGATTGTAAGCCCGAAAAATGCCGATAATGAGCAACTATGTTTCACGCTAATCCACTCAGGCTCGTCGGTCTGCCTGTCTCCTTAGCCCACCTATAGCGTGGAAAGTACCGCTCGTATTGGGATGAAATGTTCACAGAAGGCTACTACTGTGCCAAGGACGAACAAGCTTTGTAGCTAGTTTTTAAAGATCGGTGGCAGTGATGCTTCTGGACAAAAAAATAAAAAGCATTGAGTTTTTGAAAACGTGCCCTGTCACAAAGTTACTAATATGCCAATGACGCAAAAACTGTGTAGTTTTTGACAATCGGTTCAGCGGTGATGGAGAAAAAAGCCAAAACAAAAAAAAAACTAAAAATTGCTCAAAATTCGCTTTTTGACGTTTCAGACGAGCCTGACCGTTTTCGGCAAATTTTTGCAGAGTTTGAAAGTTGGGGGTCAGGTATTGTAGGCGATAGGGGAGGGTATATTTCAATCTTTTAACGATGGTACACTTATGCGCCTCTAACCCCAGTAATTCTACGCACCTATTAGGAATATTTTACTGGTTATAGATATCGCCGAATATTTACTCTTAAAACTTAGAAATATCTTCTACAGTCGGGTGTCGATACGTGCATCGTGGTCACCGGGATGGACAAGCGTCGTCGTCGGTAGTCGCACGTCACAGTCGGCAATCGCTTCCGCACTGCTGTGGTGCCGTGGGCTAGTGAAGATCAATATTGTTCAATAATCTCGATCGTGTGGGCAAGTATGGAGTGTGGATGTATGAAGTTACATGATTTCGATACGCGTCCCTGTTTCTGCCCTCTGGGTTCACCGGCCGGCTTGCCAGTCACTACATGTGTCCACCCATTACGGCTCATGCTGAGTTCAGAGGGGATAGGCGACATTGCCAGATGGACGGTACTACTGGTGGGGCAGGGAAAGGATGTCCATGGATCAATTGTATGCGCCTATTTGACTAGCTTCATTCGTTTAATTTCCCAGCTATACGTTAGTAACTAAACTTTTTTCTCAGAGGGTCTAACTTGTATTGAACGGATGATGGCGTCACGTGGGAAGTGCTGAATCTTCCTACTTGGCGTCATTTTTTTATTCGCGCACTACATACTGACTTTTTGAAAAGACCCAGTTCCGCTTGTTTGCTTTCCGTTGTCTGTCTACAAGACCAGATCTATACCATAATGATGATGGCTAACATGCCTGAAACAACGTTGTGTATGGTTGGCCATTGTCACAGAGATCCTTATCAGCCAGAGCATGTTAGATAATGAAATTATTTTAGCTGTAAAAATGATACCAGGCATAGTATATTCAATTTCACTGTAGAACTGAACTGGAACGTTCTCCGTTTTCTGTATTTATTGAATGAAATACATCAAACCCACCGGTCTTGAGGTGCGTTCAATACGCGCTGACATAACAACTTATGTCAACTTAGTTGACATCAATTATCTGTCAAACGTCACGTATAGCACAAAATAGAGCAAAAGTACTCAACTATTATAAGTGGGACGTAACTTAGACCAACTGTTTGAGATACTTTTCGAGAAGACCTAATTCATTTTACCATGACTATTATACATAATAAGGCTTACCTCTGTGCTCTTATCTTTACAGTCCATCGCCGCTTCTAGAATATATGAGCCTCCATGCCTTTCGGATTTCAACACGAAGTCCACTCGTTCTCCTTTGCCCAAAACTACTGCATGTGCCTCGTGGCTGTGTATGTCATTTCCATCCAGCGCAACTACTAACATTACGTGTTCAGCTATCGATACTTTGATCGGACAGTTCATCAGGCCACTAGCATAAATCAATCTAAAATAATAATACAAACGTTTTATCTATACCACTTTAGTCAAGATCGAATAAGAGCCAGGTATCCCAGATAATCACAGTCAAGATAATAATAATAATAACGCATTTATTTGTTGTACATGTGAGGGACAAAGATAGCGAAGTTTAGCCTAGGCTACTCTTACATTTAACTGTCTATGTCAGTACATTTAGAGCACAATGTAATGTGCGTTGCCTGTCATAAAAAAAATTATAGCTATAACTAAATTATACTATAAACTTCATGGATGCCCAAATATAAATATACATACACACATATACATATATACACATATATACACACACACATATTTACACCTACATACATATACACACATATGTATATATATATACATATCTGAGAGATGATTTCTCATGTGATTTTCACGCACGGAACTTAACGATCAGACCTTCTAGGATCAAATTACATGATCCGACAAGATATTCACCCAGAAACCAGAAGGTATTTCAGGCACTGAATCCAAATCCGTTGTTCAGATCTCTCAATTAGCTCTAGTTTTCGAAGCATCCTAACTTAAAAGCGTATAAATAGCGATTTTTAAAACCATAGAGAATGTTGTGGTTTGGATTATTAAAGATACACCAAAAATGTTATAACTAGTTAACGAATGTGTATGGAATAAGACCTACCAACTGAAAAACTCAAAAATCCTCAACACTAAATCCATAAAATATCTAAAACTGAACCAGACCACTAGCCCCCAACCCACCCTACACTATCTAGATTGAAAGAAAAACATATTTGAGGAAACAACGGCGATTGAAAGAGCAAGGCTTGTAATATGTTTTTAAAAAAGTCGCCATCCTACATAACCTCAAATAGTGATGTGTCTTTATTTTTGGGTTGAAAGAACAAACAAAAAAAACATTTGTCACGGCATTCAACACCATTGCTGTCCCATGAAAACCCCGTAAATAATACTACACTAATAAGGATTACCTAACAATTAGAGATTAGTAATAGTTATAGTTAATACTACAGCAAAGATAAAACGATTATAGTCTTTTTACATGGGATTTGTCTCTATTTCGGAAGCTACTTAATGAGAGCGAAGCTTTTACTGTGTCTGGCTTTGAGTTTTGTGGTTGCACCAACAAAAAGTATTTATTCTTTAAGCCTCGTACAGACCGAACAGCCAATGCCGATCCAACGAATTCAAGCACATGTGACGTTGGAGTTTGTTGTTGGAGTGTATTGGAATGCGCTCGTCTACATGTCGCCTACACATAAATTTAGTTTCGAGTTGGGTCCCTTCATGTTAAATTCGGTGATAATGTCGAGCGACGAGTGTCCTCTCATCGAATGCAGACAAACGACTAAATGCTAGCGGATGCAATCGAACGTCAACGGCCACCTTGGAAACCGGCTCGCGCCGTACACACCGATTCGAGCACCTCCAAATTTGTGACCACATGTGCCTTGGCTTGCGTTGGAATCTCGGTCTGTATGCGGATTCAAACTATACTAGTTCAGTTGACCTGCGGTTCAACTGTGATGGTACAACGCATCTGTCCTTGAACCGTAGTGAAGCTTGAACTAGCGATCACGTGATTTCGGGCTTACTATTGTTTTGTATTCATGAATACGACCAGTATCCTCATGACTGTTATATGAAATAATACGTTGGAATGTACTTTAAGCAATTTGAACGTACCTGAACTTATGCCTCTTGCCTTTCTTCACATGGAACGTAGTAGCATTTAGACTCGATCTTCCATTGATAAGCACCAGAGATCCGTTGGACCATTCTGACAGTAGAATAGTATGGTTATCGTAATCCAAATCGTAGTACTTCTTGTGTGGGTCCAATTTGTCGGCCTGTTTGACCACAAGTGACCCAAAAAGACCATGGGCTCTGTCTTCGTTGGAGAAAGCGTGGTACATGTGGGTTCCAGGTGTCGAAGCTCTAGCATGGTAAAAAGCAAATTGATTTAACGAGGTTTCTTGTATATGTATGTCAGACTATTAGTAGCAGTTTTAAGACAGAGCATACCTGAATTTGTATTGAAAGGTGGTATACCCAGATATAGGGCACTGAGTTACCATTGGAACTCCATCCATGAAGGGTGTTTCTTGGTTAGGCTGCCCTCTCCAATGAATAGCTAGATTCCTTCCAGGGATTTTGTTGGTTACGTCAACTAAAATATATTTTTTTTTTCATCAATCTAGTATTACGCCTTATCGTAGACCTTACTCGAAAATCGCGAACATATTTTTTTTGTAACAGTAGTATATGTTATAACTTGAGCTGCGCCATTTGCGAAATAAGTGAGTGCAAAGCGCCATCTATTACCAGAATCAAATACAAATGCAAGAGTGTATAGCAGCTATCGGTAAAAACTGTAAAGGTCTCAGTTCACGTTTTGAGCCCTGTTATCACTGTGATGGCTGACGATTCTGGCGTATTGTATTCTACTCGCCATTGAACATGTAATGTGGATGAGGTGCCAAAAAGCATGATATAGTCTTTGGTTGGCTGCGTTGTTCGGACGGATCAAAGCAGCATGTTTAGCTGTTCAATTGCGAGTACATCACACCTACAAGGTGCGGCACCATGACTATATTTTTCCAAAACCTAATCAAACATTTTTTTTCAAATCAGAACATTCTAATTTGTTTTTCATAATGTAGGCACAAGCGTAAAGTTTTGCTTTACATTTTTTGAACATCAAATAAGATAGGTGACGTCCCCATTCTCCAAACCCTAAACCAATTTCTGGCGCTTTCCAGGACTCTTTCCAGCATAACAAGCGTTATGTTGACAATTTCTTCCTGGATGTTGGTCGTCAAATTTTGTAGGGTCCTTGGACAGTTTACTTAAACACGAGATTTCAAAAATCCCCATAGAAAAAATCACACAGGGTCAGATTGGGAGATCGGCCGGCGATTCTGGGAGGTGTTCCCTTAAAAACAGCTATCGATGTTCTTGAAGTATGTGCCTTTGAACCGTCTTGTTGTCCAACTCATCTAGCCGTGGACAAAATTTCTTTTAACATGTTCACATATTAGTGCGTATTCACTGTCACTGCGACTTCATTTTTCTCAAAGAACCAGGACCAATAGTTCCAGCTGAGGAAATTGCACACCACACTGTGACTTTAGGTAAAAACAAAGGGCTTTGACGCAATTTTCGATGATTGGTGTTATCCCAGTAGCTCATATTTTGTTTGCTGAAGAACCAACAAAATAAAATGAGTTCCATCACTAAACAGAAACAAAGCATCCTCAGGAACTACTTTGAGAAAATCCTCACACGCATTCATCCGAGAATTGATGTTATGTTCAGAAAGTTCCTGCTCAATTGCCATTTTGTAAGTATGGAAATGAAGATCATCATGAAGAATTCAATCACAGAACGATCGGGATAACCAAGTACGGTGGGCTGTGATACTCCAGTTCTTCATCTTGTAGCACTTGCAGTTTGTCTGAATGTAGTGACCCACGTAACAATGGATTTCCGGTCCGCCCGAAAAGTAAGCCTCAACGGCAAAAGCTCCTCTCTGTTCTAAGGCTCGATCGCACCTGTATGTTGGGGCAAAATTGTATAGTCCCGCCTCTCGCACGGGACCACTAGCGCTACGCCACGTAATCAACCGACTGAATGACGCGAATTTTAAATAAGAAAGTTACGCTGCCGCACCCTGTACTATACCGACAGAATCGTCAACCATATAGCGGTCACAGTGGTGACCGAGCTATCAAACGCCAACCTAGATCTTCACAGTTCGAACCGATACCTGATATACCTTCTCGCACTGATTGATTATGCACAATCTGTGCTAGATGTGCTGTCTGATTTTGATAGATATTGTTTCTTTTATAGATGATAGTTTCTATGCTTTCGTTCTTTGTCAAAGACACCAAGCCTAAGCCATGCTGATGAGGTGCCAAAAATCATGAAACAGAGGTCCGTGGTTGGTTGTCTTTGATTGGAAGGACAAAAGCAGCATGCTTAGCTATACAATTATATGTAGGTAATCACCTTATCTTAATGTAAAGACATTGTTATAAGCTAAAATATTCATTTTCCCTAATTCGAAATTTGTAAATAGTGGCTCACTGGATATCGTACCTATCACAATGTCGTTATGACATACTTTAATATTTGGTCCAGGTATTTTTCTATTGATTGCATTAATTTGTCCCATACTGTTACACAAGGCACAATGTGGTGCATCATCACAATCTTTACACAAGCTGAAATAAGAAAAATTGCTCTATAGATACGACTGGCGGCAGCCTCCCCTTAAATACCTCAGCAGTAAATTTGAAGGTTAGCAAGCAGGCTTGACATTAAAATTTATTTTTCTGTTGTAAGAGTAAAAATAGAACAGGTTCTACTTCAAGTATATATATAAACTTATCAACACCACTTTGCATAATCATGTATTCTTGCAAGTGAAAGTGCAAGTACTGTATCGACTGACTGAAAATACGTATAAGCAAAAAGGATTGAGACTCTAGTTCTTGGAGAAACATGTGTTCAAAGATCTTTCTTTCATAGCTAACAGTGAACTGTGCCTATTCTGTACTAAATTTTTAAGCTTAGTATAAGACAAGTTTCAGATTAACAAGATAATAGCACTTTCTATGTTACCAAATGAATATTTTGAGGCACTCTTTCTCTCAATTTAACCGCCCAATTCTCAATCTTTAATATTTTTTCAAAAATTGCGCTTCAAGTTGAGGTCGATCATTCACATCACTGAGATGAGGCAAAACATCGATTTACAAATAAAAAATTGATATAACCCTCCTTAGACTGGTAAAAACATAGATAACTTTGTTTGAAGTTGTTCTCTTACAGCATTTCGTTCCCTTTTGAGATTAATTCTATTTTTGCTTAACATGGCAACGAAAGGTAGGTTTTTTATTACCCATATTACGTATTTTGCTCAAGTCAACAAATTTTTAAATGTTGCAGCAGTATTTTTTTTCAGGCTTGACATCTCAGAACTGTTCGAGGCGAACTTGGGAATGGAGACCAATAAGTTTCTGATATACTTTTTCCGTAAGTAAACACTTTATCCTAAATTAAATTCGGAATAAAAATATAACAATTACTTTACAGTATGTAATACACTTTATTATAGACTTAGAAGCAAAGATCTATACTCCATTCGTAGTCCATTTATGCCCAGACAAAACACAACATGCCCAACAGCGAGATTATTCAGGTCCGTATTTTCCTTAATGGTTTCGGAATAATCGTAACAAAATAAATGATGACAGCTTAATAAAACAAATTTTTCATGTCAGAAAATTCGAATATTCTATTGTTTGGAGCCACATAGTTTATATATGCCCAAATCATTTCAAGGAGATTTAATTCGCAGTGATAAGGGGGCCTTAAAACAGTCTTATTTTGGTTTTTATCCATTTCGTCGATAACATTAAGATTATATTTATATTTGTGCTGGCTGACAAGATGAGTTCTGCTTTGATCATATTTTCATTGAAACTAGTGTCTTCTGATAGGAATCATTGTTGAATTTCTGCCTTTCTTGTGGACATTGTGGGAATTTTTTCTAGTTTTCTAGTGTGGTATGCCGCATTATCAAGTACAATGATGGAATTAACGTCAACCTTTGGGAGCATTTCGTCAAACCATCGTTCAAATGAGCTCCCTTCCATTTTTTCATGGTAGTCGGTCGTTTTCTTTGACACAAATCCCCATAGGTCAGTGGGCACAAAGCTATCTTCACTGCCAATGTGACAGATAATAAATCGATTTCCTTTTCCTGGAAATAATTATTTCATACAATATTCAAGAAAACTAATTCACACTCTTTAGAGCATTGGTTAGTCCATCTAAGAAGGCTTGCCTTACTGATTTAATTGAAGAGTTTTATCCAAGTAATAAATCTTCCTGCCCTGTTCGCGGTATTTCTTTGTTGATTTTAAATAATTTCTTCTCCATAAAGTAATCTCTTGGCTGTCCATCAAAATATTATTTCTGCCCAGTTTTCTATACTCAAAATGCAGTTCTTTGAATAACTTATAGAATGTGGTCTTTTTGAAAGTAGGTAAGTCGTCATCACTATTAACCTCCTGTAATACTTTATCTATAGTGGAGAGTTCCTGCCTTTCAAAAGATTGATGGACTTTGCGGCTGATGGCATTCTGATCAAAGTTATCAACTGTATCCAACTGCTTTGTGTAATGCAGCCTCTTGTATGGTGGAGACAACTTTTTGTTTTTTTTATATTCCTTAACAATGTTAGGACATAACCCTGTTTTGTTCGCCACACGTCTTTTAATATCATGAATTTTCATTTCTTTTGCCTGAACATTCAAATGTTGGCACGTTTTCGGGGAGGACTCATCACTGAAGGGGAAGGGCTGGTGGAAGCATTGAGAGAAATATTGTCAGTTTCATCTGCTGTACCTATAGCCGACATGCTAACGTATAAACACACGCCCGGTTCGCACCAAATATGAACAGCAACTGCCAGCGTCGACGTGCCGGCGATACCCCAAGCCTGAGTTCTATCCTGTCGAATCCTGCACTTGTTCGTAGTTTTATGGCCAAATGACCAATAGCTATTGAAACGCTTAGGCGGCTTCCGCTTTGCCGCGCTGCATCTTTGTTGTGCCTGGGCGTAAATGGACTACGAATAGGGTATAGAGCCAAGTACTTAATGTTTATTTTTAAAAATTTATGATAAAACTTAATACTCGTATATAACTAGTTCATAATAAATGTAAAACTAAGTCATCCGTTCAACTCGCATGCCCAAGGTCCCCTGGGGGGACGTTATGTTATTTGATACATATGTATATGTATCGAAATACAAGAAAGCATAAATCATATTCGATCTAATTAGCCTGGATAATAAAAAAATATATAACCAAAAAATACATTGGGCACTTGATAGTTTTGTTGGATTCCATTTGTTATTGAATTCATATCGCCTAATTTTACGTTTATACAGGTAGGGTATTTTCAATACTGGTCCTTTGATACTTAGTAATACAGAGAGCTCTTCTTTTATATGGCAATTAGCTGTAAAAGATGACTGGCAAGCTGCACATTGTAGAGCCTATAGTGTATCCTGTACTGTGTTTGATATCCGTTCTATATTGGAATATCCTCATCTGTATATCATTATATAAAAATTACCTACGCGCTAGTTTCGAATGCTTCGATTTGCAGTTTTACTCTACATATCATTGGCCATTCCAAGTCATGGCAGAGTCTATCACAGTTCTTGAAACTTTGATCTGAAACAATCAATTTAAGTGAAAAACACTTAGTATGAGCAAATTTCAGCACAAAGAAAAAAAATTTAGTAGTTATGCAGGATACTTGAAGGTACTATCTAAGTTCCTACAAGCCTTTCCTAAGAAGATACAGGTTTTCAAGTGAAATTAGGTTCCTAAGATTGGAAGATCTAAGATTGTTTACACGGATTGCAGCAACTAATACTTATTGCATTGCTTGTAACAGAAGACGCTAATAATAACGAAAGCTTAACTATAAAAAATTTGTCTTGTCCAAGGATCATCTAATATTTCATATTTCAGCCCTGTGATTCGGATAGTCTTCCGTGATTAGTAACTAGTTCCACAACTTTATGCAGGGTGTTTCCTAGTTGGATTTTAACATTCAAGCTTGCGATTCTTGGGTTAAGAATACCTCATATGAAAAGTATATCCCAAGCGTCTTAACTTTTGGCATACACGGTGATAAAATTTTTGAAAAACAAATAATGTATTCTTCAGATTTTAATGAAATTTGTAATCATATACTTTATATCAAGAGGCTTTTTGAATGTACCACATTTTCTTAATTTCAACCAGTGGCGTTCGTACGAAACTTTACCCGGGTATTTTGGCAGACAATTGTACCTCATAAATGAGCTTTTATTAAAATGAAAATTATACTTGGAATCCATATTCCATTCGAAGCAAATTCGATCCCTCAATTTCTTCAATCTGATCGAAGTTCTAGCTTAAAAAATACAAAACCGTTTCTCTGCATTATGATAAAAATATTGTCAATATGATATCGTCATGCGAATTACATAGCTTTTATCTTTTTAGGTAAAAACCGTGCATTTTACTAAAAATACTATCAAATCTGTTCATTTAATGTTTTCTTGAAATGGAGTCAAATCAAATATCAACATCCAATTAGAAAATTATTATTTATATATATATTTCGTTACAATATTTTTTGGTTGATTGATGTCGTCTTTGTTAGAATTTCAATCTCACCTGGTAAAGGCGTTAGGTACAAAATGGTCACCACCATCGCAACCATGCCTAAAACAATTGAAACTCGCACCAACATGCTGGACTCATTCGCCATGACAATGGCAGTCTTATTGTATATTTACACTTGGTTTATTTCCTTTGGTTTTCACTATTACATCTTCGCTCACGTGTGATTATTCGCTGAAAGAGACATTACATGGTGAGAGAAAGTTGCGTTGAATCTATCTGTTAGGACAATAATAAAAATAGATATTTGATATGAATAGGAAATGAAACCCTAATATGCTGAGCCTAAATAATGAATACAAGAAGTAGAATCTGAAAATTCTAATAAAAGAAGAAGATATTAAATAATAAATACTAAAACAACGTAAATTTTGATATTCCAACGTAATTCCTACACCTACACCACAGAAAAATAAATAATATGATTCATCAAAACATTTATGAAAAAGCTAGATCATTCATAAGAAGCTAGTATTTTGAGTTTACAATATTTTAAAAAAGAAGACACGAAGAGAAGGAGGCAGTGGTGATGTTTTGTTTTGTTTGCTGTTTGGGTAAAACGATATAGAGGAACAAAACAGTCATTTAACTTTGATACAGATGTTGAACAACGAAATTAAATTGAAAATTATCCTGCAGGCCAGAGGATTCGTATTCCCCTTTGGACGTTATTTCTGGATGATTGCCTCTGTTTATAACCAAAGGATGGAGAGTCAGATGACGATGTCAAGTTATTGAATTCCAGTTATTAAATATATTGCGAATATTTTCGCCTTAGAGCCGTTTTACACAGAAGAGAATTACTCCGAAAATTATGGTCATAATTATGCCGAAAATTTGCATGGAAAAAATATGTAGATTTTCTCTACAACCTGTATGACACAAGCAAACAAAATTTCCGAGTAATTCATATGATACGCCTGCGCATTAGAGTAATATTTTCGAATGGACATAACCTTAACGGGTATCACGTCCAATATAATCGGAAAGACAAAAGACGTCGTTGATTTAAATTTATTTTTGAAATCGAGATCTTGGTTAATAGTATAAAACTTCTCAATGCTTGGACTACCGCATCCAGCGCCTGACGCCGCAGATTTCTGTTTTTGTCATTGGGTGACTTTTCCTTGTACAGGTTTGGCCATTTTTGGTAGTCCTCCAACAACAGTGTAACTTCTTCCCGATTCCACGACATTATGGATAAACAATAATAATAAACGATTTTTCGTACATCTCGAACAGGACCAGACCACAAATGTTAAGTGAGGTTATGTTGTTGACGTTGACATTTGATACTGACATGCACGGAAATAACCCTCTGCGCCGATTCTCGCGCATATTCTATAGAACGGGTTTTATATTTTTATCATGAAAATTTTCACAAGAATTCTTTTAGGTGTAATACGGCAGCAAAATTTTTCGGCATAATTATAACCATAATTTTCGTAGTAGTTCTCTTGTGTGTAAAACGGCTCTTAGTCGGAGAGCTGTTTACTGGGTGTTACCGAGAAGATCTGATTGGATCAAAACATAAGTAAAATGGGGAGAGGTCCTTTCGGAAGGTACTGTATAGATTTGTAGATATTTGGAATTAAAAAACCACTTGAAATAAATATATTAGGTAATCAATTTTAATACGATTGAAATCAACTTATATTTGGGACTATAAACATTTTCTAGCATTATTTCTCAGTTCGGTGATCTTTCTTGATCAGAATCTTGAACAGCTTATTGACAATGTATGGTGGTTGGCATTAATAGGCCAGGCTAACTAGCCAAAATAAACCACTCTTAGAAAAAAGAATGATATAGATGGACTTTACTACGCAATTATGTCAAAATACAAATAAATTTTATTAGATAACTTTTTTTACTGAACTTGAGAGTTGGAGTGCTGTAGGGGATGACAATCTTTAAGATGACACTTTATGCCTCTAATTTGCTGCAGTTGTAACGGTGCTAGATAACAGAAAAGACCATTAACCTCAAAAAGTTTAGAAACTACGAGCACCTTGTATGATTTTTTTGTGTCTGTCTATTTATAATCTTGGCTGTTGTTGCATATTTATTGTTATGCATAAACTTCACGATAGCAAATATTTTTGAGGATTTTTGTAATAAAGAATTAAGTGCTGCTGCAAGTGTCGCTTCTCCCTGACCTTCCGAGATTTTTTTTGAATGTCGAAAAAGACCGACACTTAATAAAAAAGAAACCCAACAACATTGTTCGTATCTCCAGATAATTCACCCTGAAAATAGTTCGCTCCTAAAATCTGTCTATATAAATTTTCCTGAAATAGATATGTTATATTACATGAAAAATTGACTGAACTTTGACCCACACTGGTTAGGTTTCTATTTTGCTGGCACCAGTCGAACTTTTCCAGAGAAAGATGGACTTTATCCAATCCTTAAAAGTTATTTTTCAACTTTCTCACCTGTGTTATAACTATTTTCATATACACGACGGCATCTCGACTAGCACTGAAGTTATTCATGTAAACATATAGGTACCCGATTGTGTGTAAATTTCCGAAAAAATCCGAAACTAACTTCCTAACGTAGGTTTCGGCGGATAATACAAGCCGCGAAGGTCATCGATATACTGGATATACCGAGCCAGTGAAATTAAAATGTGTTCCTCCTCTCTAGACGCGTCTTACGGAGAGAGCCGCGTGATAGGCGGTGAAAGTTTTACGTATGTTCGCGGACTTGCAGCTCGCAGCGAAATTGCGTAAGTCAGTGTGTGGAAGCATATTCATTTTATTTTATTGATTAACGTATCTTACCTGAAGATAGCCAACCTGATGCTATAGCCGCGCGTCTAAAAAATTATCCGCGATAAAATGAGATACCGTGGCTTGCTCTATGAGAATTTGGCACAGCTGTTTCTCAATGTACTAAATATATTTCGAAAATGGTGTCTGATAGATGGCGCTGTCTATATGACCACATACTGGCATTTAAGTATCGTCAATCGTTCCTTCAATAATTGAACGATGCTTTTTTATTTTTATGAGATTCTTATAGTTTTCTACTGTTCTTTGTCAGCGCTCTATTTTGAGGTTATGTTACAAATATCAATTTGCCTCAAATTGTTCATGCTTTTGATTTACATCATCTATTATATCAGCCTGAAATTTCATAATTCGAAAAGAAAATCTAGCCTCAGAATAAGAATGCGCTGACGCTTACACGGACAAGTAGAAATCTAGCCTTTCTAGAGAAAAAAGGCCAACAAAATCAAGCAGGCCAAAAAGGCGTCCCAAAATTGTAGGAACGACTGACGATATGACCCTAAGTGTCTACAGCACCATCTAGGGATTAAGTCAAGCAGCTTGATATCTTCATAAAGTACTTGACTTAAGGCCGTATCACCATAAATTTACTGCAATTAAAAAAGAAAACATAACTCACAATAGAAGAGCGCTGACGCTGAGACTGAACAGTAAAAAATCTAAAAATACCCTGGGAGAGAAACGATTATTAAAATCAAGGAGGCTATAAAGCTACCCTTCACTTGTAGGTACGACGATACGGTCCTTAGAAATAAAATTACTTGAAACGTTGACGCTTGACTTGACTTGATTTTTTATTGTTCTTCTTGACTAGAGGTCAGGTGTTTTCATAAAACTTGATACTTAATGGTGAATTATATTTTTGTTCTACTAAAGACCTTCAGTGATATTTATTTATACAACCGATGGGCCGCAATTTGTATTTTAATCACTGGCGCTCCCACGAGGGGGGAAAAGGGGGTAATTACCCCTCCCCCCAGATGACTCGAGTAGTCTTTGAACAGGTGGTATAAAGTAAACGTCTTATAAAAAATCTGTAACTTTAAGAAAGGGTCGCGGCAACACTGCCAACCCGCTCAGTGCACATGCGACTTGCGACTACTCTCCCACAGCAACGGTGTGCGCTTCTTCCTGTTGGAACAGGTATAGTCTAGTCTTTTATGGTCTAGTCTAGTGTCTAAATTCTGTACCAGTCTGGAGTCGGCAAAAAAATTTGACTGAGAAGTGAACAAGCGGAGTTTTGTTGATCTGGTTCTATTGATATATTATTTTCCACGCAGAAGCCAGAAAATTAATTTTTGTTTGTTTTTAATTTTTATAGTATAAAAGAATCGTGCCTAAAAAAATGACAGACGGAAAATTGTAAATTTAATATAATTTCAATTACGAAGTGTTCCATACTCCAGTTATCATTATCATTTTTAACAGTCAACCTGAGAAAGATTTTACAATCAAAAAGAATTGATAAACAATACGCTGTCAAACTCATAGGAAATATTATTTCAGTTGTACAAGAAAGACGCCCAAATTCCGAAAAACACTTTAGAATACCATTCGCATCTATAATGGAATCACATGAAACCCTAGGTATTGAACTGACTGTGCCAAGAATAACAAGCAGGCAAATGAACAAACCGAACATAGTTGCATCTGGCAAGGAAAATCATTACATACAATTTTAATATTTTCTGTGCGTCAGTGTTTAATTCAAAAACTGAAGCTGAAGTAATGGACATATTAGAAACAATCTCTAAATATTTGCATAGACTAAATAGTAACGAAAAGAAAAATTTAATAAGCACCAGATTAAAAGCAGAATTTGACCTTTGGAAGTCACGTACACAAGATATTATAGACAGCGGTATGTCACTGTATTTATCATGTGATGAAAACATTTCTCCTTCAATTAACAGTAGCCTACAATTATTGAATTCATTGCCGGCAAGTGTTGCGACATCTGAAAGAAGTTTCTCCCATCTAAAGAGGATAAAAACTTGGCTGCGCTCCACTATGTTGCAAGAGCGAATAGTGGGTTTTGCTCTTTTGTATATGCATAGGTATATTAAAATAGACGTGAATACAATCATATACTAAGTGACATATAAATCCGAACACCCATTTTAAATGATTTTATTTTAATGAAAGTTGGTGAATGTATTTATCTTACTGTAAATAACAAGTGAAAAAATTTTCAGCCTTATCAGTTGGACATTTCGGTTTTTATACTGCTTTTTTTTTTATTCACTTACGCTCTAAAAATGAATATTTCAGCCGCAGTAAAGAATCAACGTTGGCGGATTTTGGTTCTTGACATCCTTTACGATCGGTTACGATGCCTAGAGTACGGGGACCTGTACGATTTCGTCAACTTAGTGAGTTTGATAGGGGCCGTATAGTGGGACTTCGGGAAGCTGGACTTTCTTTTCGGGCAATTGCAGTTAGAGTGCAAAGAAGTGTAGACACTGTGGTTAGGTGTTGTCAGGCATGGCTTCGAGAAGGCCGTGCGCAAAGAGCAAGGGGCACTGGACGCCGCCGTAGAACAACAGACCGTGAAGGTCGCCGCCTAAGATTATTGGCCTTAAGGGACCTTTTCTCCACTACCAGGTCCATTGCAAATGAATGGTTTGCAGAACACAAAAGACCTATTGGCATGCGAAGTGTTTACCGACGAATGAGAAGTTTTGGCTTGTTTTCATACCGGCCACACTGGGTCCTTCCTTTAACTCGAGAACACCGACGTAATTGCCTTGAGTGGTGCAGACAACGGTCACTCTGGGATCAGGAATGGAACAGTATTGTCTTTATTGACGATTCTAGATTTTGTTTAGGCATGCACGATGGTCGTGCCAGGGTTAGAAGGCGACGTGGTGAAAGGAGGAATTCACAGTTTTTTGTTGAAAGACATGTTCATCACACTGTTGGAGTTATGGTTTGGGGTGCTATAGCTTATGGTTCCAGGTCACCTTTAATCTTCATCAGAGGTAACATGAACGCGCAGCGTTATATCCACGAAGTTCTAGAACCCCATCTTTTGCCCTATCTTGACACCCTGGCAGATCCAACTTTCCAACAAGATAATGCACGACCACATGTTGCAAGAGTCACAATAGACTTCTTTCAACATAATGATGTCACATTGTTACCATGGCCACCAAGATCTCCCGACTTATCCCCAATTGAGCACGTGTGGGATATGATGGGTAGGAGATTGCTCAATTTGCAACGTCCTCCTCAGACTCTAGAAGCACTTGGAGGTGAGTTGATGGTTGCCTGGAATGAGATACCACAGGAGGACATTAACCACCTGATCAGAAGCATGCCTAGGCGCGTTGGAGAATGCGTAGTACATCAGGGTGCATCCACACAGTATTAAAGGTCAAAGCGCTTTAAAGCAGTGCAATCATTTTGAAATTTTTATCATTTACTTATTATGCTTCATTAAGTACTTATACAAAATTTTATTTAAACTGGGTGTTCGGATTTATATGTCACTTAGTATAGATCGGTTCGCCAGCAAAAAAAATAGGCGCCTTGATTTTGTAATATGTTAACACCTGAGCAGATGTAGCTAAGGGTTTACTTACGTTTAAACCACAACGGCGATCTTTTCCAAAGTATACAATTAAGATATGTGGTTTTATTTATTGGCCAGCAGATTGATATAAAAGCCTGTTCAAATTCTATTCAAATCACTTTCTAAGCTAATGTAATGATTGTTTTATTTTGAGACTGTGAACTGATGTAGTTTCATAGTTTATATGTTTCCGTTTTTTGAGACTAGATAAGAGAATGTAGTTATGCAATGAATATTGTTTGTGTTTTTATCATGATTAAGAATTTTATTTTGATTTACATTCAGTTTTATACTTTATAGAAGTCGTAACATATTTGTTATTATTTTTTTCATGATGATGTATTTTTTGTTGTTTTATCTGACATTATTATGAAGAATAGTCCATGATAGATTATATTATTTTGCATTTTTGCTTTAATATGTGAAGACTGCTCGAGCTTGGTTAGCTTTATTTACACTTTGATTTCGTATGATTCAAAATTAAAAAAACATGTATGTGTTTTCTACAGAAATTACTGTAACAAATTCATATGTCTGCATATGTCCATGCTTTTAATTTTAAATCATTATAACACTTCAGTACGTCACACTGAGAATTTACTTTCCACTTTACCCCTCCAATACTGAAATCCTGGCAGCGCCACTGATTTTAATGCAAATAATAACTTAGAAAATCGAAAATTGTCACAAGACACTGCCACCTCAAATAATGCATACAACCAGCGTGGCCAAACCAAAAAATGTAAAATCGGTAGATGGACATTCCGAAGATTCAAGCATAAAATCGATAGGAAGAAAAAGCAGCGGCCCGTCGAAAGTTTTTCGGCCACGCAGCACCATCTATGAACAGAATATTTTCGTGTAGCGGGGGCACACAACACAAGTACCAGAGGTTCTCTATAAATATAAAAACAAGTGAAAATTAAACTCCATGAAAAACAACTCAACTGATTTTACATGTTTTTTACAAGAACAAAATATGTCGATAAATATTTAGCTCTTATACGAGGTCTCTAAATTAAGTAGTGGTGAGACTCGCAACGCAGCGTTTGTTCTGGCAACACTCGAGGCGCCGTGCTTGAAGAGGAGACAGGGGAACATGTGATCCGCCTTCAGTACAAGTTTGAACTCGCTCTAGTCATTTATTTATCCGTAGTGACTTTTTGTGAAACAATTTTTCTATTGTGTTCTAAAAATGAGAGACATCAATTTCGCAAAACGGTGTACAATCTAGTTGTGCTTCAGACTTGGGGAACTCTCGCTTAACTTCAGTAGGCCTATGGAGATAGTGTTTTGCCAAGAGCCTGTTTAAGGCGTCTTCAGAAGGGAGAGAGTCGATAGAAGATGAACCACGAAGCCGAGGTCCTTCAAGAATCGATCAAAATATCGGCAGAATCCGGGATCTTGTGTATTCAGATCGTTGGTTGACAGTCAGAGTGATCGAGAAAGAGTTAAGTTTGACTCACACCACCGACATCAGATCAAGAACAACTAGGTGTGCATCCTTGACCCAGATCAATGTCAATGAACGGGTTTTTGGCCAGTAAAGACGTTCCAGGCGCTCCTCAGCCTCCTTATTCGTCTGACTTGGGTACTTGTGACTTTTTTCTCTTCCGGATTTTGAAAAATCACCTAAAGGGAACTTATTTTGGGACAGTCGAAACATTCAAACGGCTGTAACCGTCCAGCTGAAAGCTATTCCAGTATCAGAGTTCTAGCACTGCTGTGAGGAGTAGAAGAACCACTTCCAGCGCTGTGTTAATTCATGTTGAGGGGCGTCCAACAAACGTGGCTTAAAAAAAATCGAATTGGAAAATTTCTACAGTAAAGGTTGCCTATACAAGGTGTCCTAACCGTGCGAGGATGGAGTATTGCTCCTGAACAATACTTTTCATAGAAACATATTAATAGGTTATTATATACAGGGTGATTCACAAATTCGTGACCAAAATTGAAACATCATATACAGGACCGCACTTTATGGGGGATCTCCATTAAAAAGGTACGAGGTGTTGAAGTCTAAAAATAAAAAACGGTTTGTTTTAATATTTTCAAAACCGTCAACTGGAATGAACTAAAATTTGCTAAGTATTGTTCACATTCAAAAGTCTTTACTTTAAATTAGCGTGCAACAGTGTAGTATTTTTATTTGAAAAAGTAATGCCACTAGTCCCCTGTACCTCCGCCACTGGGGCAAGACTTTTGAATGTGGGCAATACTTAGGTAAATCAACACACCAAATTTTAATTCATTCCAGTTGACGGTTTTGAAGATATTACATTTTTTTATTTTTAAATTGATCGTATCTTTTTAATGAAGCCCTTGAGGAAAGAATATTACATACAATGCATTCCTTAGTATGTTGTTTCATCTTTAGTCTCGACTTGTGAATCACCCTGTATGTTATCTAGAGGCAGATCTCTGAAATATTTGGTTCAGGCTGTTCTAATTTGACCCACACATTAAAGTTGATTTTTTATGTTGAATGTTTTCCTTAGTCCTTTTAAAATAAAAAGATTGATAAATCATACCTATGAGTTTTGATTATTAGGTCTATCTAAAAAAAAGCACCATATAGAATATTTGGAATATGTACGATCTACATGTGAATTAGTAAGATAATCTCATTTAAAATATTGTTTCTGTTATACTTTAATATACAAAATAAAACACATTTCATGTTTATTATGAAATTCACCTTTCAGTGTTCACTTTCATTAAATTAACATGGACTTGGCTTTATTTCAAGGAAAAGGCTTGAATTTAATGAATTAAGAAGGTTTAGTTTTAATTATAAATTTGCAATTTCTCTTTTGTTTTCATGAATGATGCGGCTTTTGTTAGTAATAGTGTGCAATTTACGAACAATGTTAAATAACTCGAAAACTTTACACATGAACACCTTTGATATTTAAATCAATGAAAAGCTTGTAAGAAGTGGAATCCAACAATGTGATAATATAGAAGGTGTACCATTTATCTTTCTTGGGAGGAAGCACGTTTTGCGTTTTGATCACCCTGTACTGGACATTCAAAGATAAAAAAAAAGGACCTACTGGAATATGTAATAGAAAGTGAGCCATTCCATTTGAAAAAAATAACTTTTATATGTGGGTCAACATTGGGACACCATTTATAATGGAGCAAAACTCCGTCCTCGCACGGTTGAGACACCTAAACAACTCTGTTATGAAATCGCTATTCACCATAAAATAGAAAAAACAAACACTTTTCATTACCATTTTGCATTGCTGAGTAATATTTAACATGGAAAAATCAAACCGTCCATCATTTACCAACAAAATACCCTAAATACGTGCGGCCAGTAAAGAAAAGTCTTTCTGACATCGATGACAGCCTGTGATGACAACTGCTGCAGTCTACTGTGCAAATGTTAAGTTATCAGTTGAACGCACCTCAAGGAAGCATTACCCTTCGCCTTAAATCCAGGGTTAAATTTAACGGCCGCGTTTTCCTGAGCTGATCTCCTATGTCTTACTCAGTCAGTCTCATGTTCTACAGAATTCGGTAGTAAATCAAAACTATTGTCTGTATATAGACAGTTGGCACTTTTTACTTCATCAGTAGAACATTTATGTATAGGATTTTATTAATCGTAGAATCTGCTATTAACAAATTATGGACGTTCTGTGGTGCATGGGATCTCGGACTACTTAGTTTCTGTATACTTATGAATAGTTGGACTAATACAAGGGCTTGGCACTGGGCACTGGCCCGGTACGGATATTATGTAAAAAACATAAAATTCAAAAAAAAAACCTATAAGATGTCATCTTGCAGACTAGGTAGTTTTTACGGCGCAAACAGTCATTCCACGTTTGTTCAGTAGGATCGTTGTGAACGTCCATCTATGGAAGAATCACTCAACTAAACTACACGCATTGTTGGTTGCATACGTTTTGCGAGGCTGAGTGGTCTGTGTCTGTAGTTTTTATCTCTGAGAAGAAAGTAGGCTGATTAGCAAGATCGCACCTGGATGATTATGTGTATTGGTCTGCATGTCTATAAAATCAATGATATTTTCTGTGTGAGAAAATCATTACGGAATATGCTGCCAATGAAGTGTATCTATTAGGTGTGCCCGACAGGTTATTAATATGTTGTCCTTTCTGAAGACAGGTTATGTTCAAAGTTATAAATTACGAAAAAGATTGAAGATAATTACGCGAAATCATCACCGCGCCCGCGTTGTATGTAATTACTGTTATCATGTATATGGCTTGTAATTCGACAATGTACAGTGAATATAATTATTTCTTATCTCCCTCATTTCTGAGGTTCAGCAAATTTGTAGATGTAATTTCCAGAATGGATAAGATAAAAGTGGATGCGCAACCAATTTCTAGCCTTGACTCTCAATTAAGTGTATTTGAGACAAGAATCCAATGGAATTATCATAAATGCCATCTGTAAAGCAGATTTCACATTACATTAGAGCCAAACATTGATAACTGAAGCCTCATGACGTTTAGGCGTACAACTAAGTGCTAAGCTAACATCTTGTAGAAAACCTACATAATGTCAAAAAGAACCAGTATAATGTCAAAAAAAATCAATATAACGTCACTTTCCAACATCCGTAATACCCGTGCCGGTCAAGTGTATCATGTGACATACATAGAGGTAGGCTACGTTCAAAACTGATTGGCGAATATTGGTAAAACTTAGAAGCTACTTAAGGAATCGGAATCGAGTAGTATACAGAAAAATCAAAAACAACTACGTTTCATCACTCTATCATGACATATACACTGCTTTTAAAAAATGACGCTCTCCCACTTCATTTTTTGAGCGAAGCATGTTAGTATATTTTAACGTAAAAGTGAGCTCTGAAAATTTTTTAAAATTACAGGTCATGAGACACCTAATTTTAAAACTGCTTATTAGTACCGTATAGCCTTAAAATGTAAATCCTAGAGTGACGGACTGGCTGACTGGATAGATTGAACGTTTTTCTTTTTAGATTGAAGCCATTACAACTCAATAAATAATCATCAGAACGCTACAGCATTCTATATCCACCTTCTTCTTTGAGAAGGGTCTGCCCGAATATGAGGTAAGACATGGCAGATTCCGTTTAAAAAGTAACAGATTTTAACATTTTATTTAAGCAGAGTGTTCCGTATTTTGTTATACCGGGTGATCATTTCAAATATTCCCACCACGGATTTATTGAAAACCACTGATTAAAAGAAAAAACGCCGAGACACGTCAAAAGATTTGTCAAGCGAGACAACTTGTTAACAAAAAACGACTTCACCCCCTTTCACCCTCGGCCCTCCAGGGTAATTCCCTCAAGAATTTTAAATGACAAGATGTATCGAGTAAAAGCTTGTTTGAAAGGTATTTCGAAGTTCTTTATTTTGAAGTTTGATTTTTTGAAATCGATTCGTTTTCAAGAAAATCGGCAAAACCTTTATTGATCTTAACTTGTTCAGATAGAAAACCAAGAAACACGAAAATATAACTTTTTATTTCAATAAGCGTTCAAAATGTTGTTAGCTGTTGTATCATATTGAAACACCTAGGCCTAAGAAAATAGCTGACCGTTGTAAAACATCCTTTTCTGGATAGGGAAATCAATATAATTTTTATTCTTGGTATTGTATTCATGTCTGACAATATTAATCTTATGCGGATTTTTATATATCTAATGATAGTAGAGTTGTAATTTGTGTATTATCGTATTCATATAACAGTACTTCGGATTCACTTTAGTAAAACAACCGAATCATGCTTAGAACAATTTAATCATTGCAAATTTAACAAAATATCACATAAAGCGCTCATAGACCTGTGAGAGGCTGTTTCGCCGACCTATTCCTTGCTGACAGTAATCTTGCGTGCTTTTCCGATATCTGGCTCCCCATCTGTGGCATCTCCTCAATCTCCCCTTGTTGGTTTTCTGAAAAGAAGGTCATTAATTAAGAGGATAGGTTTTCTACACTTAGCCCTAACCGTAATTTTAGCAATAGCTCGTCAAAGCCTTAGATAACATTGCTAAATTGTATTCCGGATGAAATTCTAGAAGAAAAGGGACGCTTTTGGATGGTTTACTACAACAAATAAGAAGCGAAACATTATTGCTATCAAGAAAAGACAACAAGGGTCATTCAAAAATCAACCAACGTTTATGTTCGTAATTTTTTGTTGTTAGTATATTAATACACTTCCAGCCTCGGAAATTCTACGACATATTTCACACATCGTGGATTGCTCCGTATATTTGCCCTTAGAATGATGGAAAAATATTTTCCAAGCGCTGGTATCCCAGCGTTGTTGTTTTTTTTTTTTGACGTTTTATAGGTTTTTTATAACGGATGTTTTTTTTTCGAGGTATAGAACTTTAAGTTGTCATTACTTTTGAAGATGGCGATCAATTTGACAGCTGTCAAGTGATTTAATCTCAGTTTGGTTTGGCAATTCATCAAGAATAGACTCACGCCTGAACATCGCTTGCAAATTGTGCAGTTTTATTTCGAAAATAGTGGTTCTATGCGGAATACGTTTCGCGCACTACGTCCAGTTGATTGTCGACAAAATCATCCATCAGAGCAGTTAATTCGATTAACCATGCAACGTTTTCACACCACGTTTACTCTAATTGATAACTTGCATCCCCAGAGACGCCGTACGGTGCGTACAGAATAAGCTATTGCTACTGTAGAGCGTAGCATTGAGGAATGAGTCCATCCGCCATCGAGCACAGGAATTGGATCTGTCTCCATTCACTTTATGGAAGATTTTGCGGAAGGATCTTGGTTTGCGTGCTTACAAAATCCAACTCGTACAAGAATTGAAGCCAAACGATTATCAAGCAAGGCCTAGATTCGTTGAATGGGCCCAAAACGAGATTGCCGTTGTGCCCGATTTTCATAAGCGAATTTTGTTTAGCGATGAAGCGCACTTCTGGTTGAATGGCTACGTCAACAAACAAAACTGCCGCATTTCGAGTGAAGCTAATCCTCAAGTATATGTCGAAACATCATTACTTCCAGAAAAACTGATTGTTTGGTGCGCTGGTGGAATCATTGGTTCGTACTCCTTCAAAAACGATGATGGCCAGAACCTTACAGTCAATGGTGACCGGTATAGAGTCATGGTTACTAACTTTTTCATCCCTGAATTGAACAAGCATGATATCCAGGAGCTGTGGTTCCAACAAGATGGCGCAACATGTCACACAGCTCGTGGTACAATCGATTTATTGAAAGACATGTTTGGCGACCGCATAATTTCACGTTTTTGACCTCCAAGATCTTGTGATTTAAAACCGCTAGACTATTTTCTGTGGGGCTATGTAAAGTCATTGGTCTATGCGGATAAACCGCAAACGCTTGACCATTTAGAAGACACCATTCGCCATGTTATTGCCGATATACCCCACAAATGTTGGAAAAAGTCATCGAAAACTGGACGTCCAGATTGGACTACGTCCGAGCTAGCCATGGCAGTCATATGCCAGAAATAATATTTTAAATGTAATTCCACAAGATTATCTTTCTAATAAAAATAATTCATGTCAATCGAATAATCCATCGTTGTTTTATTGTAATTTAAAGTTCTATACCTCTAAAAAAACACCTTTTATGCCGAGCCGGTTCTTGGCTAAAATCAAAGACGTAGTTAAGCTTGACATTGAAATTGCTGCTATTATACCTATTATTCACTTTATTGCAGTAATAAAAGGTTTTGGAAGCAATTTAATCAATGTTATATTGATAGATTTTTTGGGGAATGCTGAACTCCATCAACAGAATCTCGGGGCACTAAAAAGAGAAATCGTAAAATGACTTTATGAAACGAATGTAAAGATATTTCCTAAGAACTCTCAGATTCAAAATGAAAGAAGATAAAACTCAAAGTTAAATTTTCGGTTGTCCCTTTTCAATATCCATCATGGATTTTGGTTCATCAACAACATTTTGCCACCTTAGAGTGAGACTGTGACAAATGCTGAGAGACATGCCCTTTCGCAGCGTGGATATCTATAATACCCCAAAAGCCCAAAACCAGACTCACTTGACCTTCAAATGACCTATGAGGTTATTTCCATGTCATATTTCAAATCATCGACAAGTTGTTTATTTGATACGCTGAAAGTTTTCTGTGAACCTTGTTCTCAATAAATGCATGGTTACCAAATTTTCGGGGTGTTTTTGTACTTTTCAGACGTTACAGTACGTAATGCTGACTGAATTATCACCGCTTGGCGTTCGAAAATATACTAAGTGACATATAAATCCGAACACCCAGTTTAAATGGTTTTATTTTAATAAAATTTTGTATAAGTACTTAATGAAGCATAATAAGTAAATGATTGCACTGCTTTAAAGCCCTTTGACCTTTAATAATGTGTGGATGCACCCTGATGTGCTACGCATTCTCCAACGCGCCTAGCCATGCTTCTGATCAGGTGGTCAATGTCCTCATGTGGTATCTCATTCCAGGCAACCACCAGCTCGTCTCGAAGTGCTTCTAGAGTCTGAGGAGGACGCTACAAATTGAGCAATCTCCTACCCATCATATCCCACACGTGCTCAATTGGGGATAAGTCGGGAGATCTTGGTGGCCATGGTAACAATGTGACATCATTATGTTGAAAGAAGCCTATTGTGACTCTTGCAACATTTGGTCGGGCATTATCTTCTTGGAAAGTTGGATCTGCCAGGGTGTCAAGATAGGGTAAAAGATGGGGTTCTAGAACTTCGTGGATATAACGCTGCGCGTTCATGTCACCTCTGATGAAGATTAAAGGTGACCTGGAACCATAAGCTATAGCACCCCAAACCATAACTCCAACAGTGTGATGAACATGTCTTTCAACAAAAAAAAAACTGTGGATTACTCCTTTCACCACATCGCCTTCTAACACTGGCACGACCATCGTGCATGCCTAAACAAAATCGAGACTCGTCACTAAAGACAATACTGTTCCATTCCTGATCCCAGAGTGACCGTTGTCTGCACCACTCAAGGCGATTACGTCGGTGTTCTCGAGTTAAAGGGAGGACCCAGTGTGGCCGGTATGAAAACAAGCCAAAACTTCTCATTCGTCGGTAAACACTTCGCATGCCAATAGGTCTTCCGTGTTCTGCAAACCATCCATTTGCAATGGACCTGGTAGTGGAGAAACGGTCCCTTAAGGCCAATAATCTTAGGCGGCGATCTTCACGGTCTGTTGTTCTACGGCGGCGTCCAGTGCCCTTGCTCTTTGCGTACGGCCTTCTCAAAGCCATGCCTGACACACCTAACCACAGTGTCTACACTTCTTTGCACTCTAACTGCAATTGCCCGAAAAGAAAGTCCAGCTTCCCGAAGTCCCACTATACCGCCCCTATCAAACTCACTAAGTTGACGAAATCGTACAGGTCTCCGTACTCTAGGCATCGTAACCGATCGTAAAGGATGTCAAGAACCAAAATCCACCAACGTTGATTCTTTACTGCGGCTGAAATATTCATTTTTAGAGCGTTAGTTAATTAAAAAAAAGCAGTATAAAAACCGGAATGTCCAACTGATAAGGCTGAAAATTTTTTCACTTGTTATTTACAGTAAGATAAATACATTAACCAACTTTTATTAAAATAAAACCATTTAAACTGGGTGTTCGGATTTATATGGCACTTAGTATATATTCTGATATAGAATCTCGAGCTCTATACAAATCTGCTATCAAAAATGCTGGTCGATATTTGAATGTACGACTTAGTTGTCCAAATGATGTAGTCATTGGCTAGGTCGTATTTGAGACCATCAACAATTTGCTTTTTTGGTACCCTGAAAGTTTTCTCTAAACATTGTCTCCAAGAAAAACGTGGCTGCGAGAAGTTTTCCGGTTGGTCGTGTACTTTTTAGACGTTACAGTACTTATTGAACCACTTATGACCACTGGAACTCATGTCTGAAAATTAATTCTTCTGTTGTCGAAAATGGTGGTTGCTATTTGAATTTTCATTGTTGACCTCCAAATGACCTCTTGGCCATTGTATAGATAGTGTTTGATGTAATCGACAGATTGCTTTTCTGATACGAGGTTGCCAGGTTTTCGGGTATTTAATGATGTCTATTAACACTTATCGTTAAAAAGATCTGCTTTTATTTAGCTGAAATTGCCTTTATTATTCCACAAAATCCTCCGCCGTTTTCGGCAATTGTCGTGAGCAGTAAGACTGTATGGAAAACCACGCACTTTTATCTGTTTTCGCATAAAACTATGAATTTATTTCAATATCTGTGATGGATCAGATGATAAAATAATAAGAAAGAACAACTATTTATCTGTTGTTTGAAAAGTGTGTCATGATTTGTATTTTCATTGAAGGTTGCCAGGCGAGAAAATGACGAACGCGAATCAGGTGTATGGTGTTGTTCCGGAACCAATTTGGGGTGGAATCGGGATATTTTTATCAAATTTGTTGGGATCTGGCTGCTTTTCCATGCGCCCGGGGATTATAGCGGAAAAGGACAACCGAAGAATAAACAAAAATTGTCAGAATACGCCGTATGGGAGTTTGCTCGCTGGTTTTTTTCTCCCTTACTTCGTTTTCAGGTATTTTTTGCCATGCAAGCCACTGAAAGCCGAGCAAATTGCTGGCCCTATATCCATTCGCGTATACTGCTGCTTTTATGTGTCTCAGGCTTTCAATCGAGTACACTGGTGGGTACTATTCGGTATCAAATGCGGGAGTATACAAGGACGTATTTAGTTTGATATTTCTTTCAAGAAAATGGTATAGATTGCTGTACCCTTACTTTAAGAGTATTTGCTCACAGAAGCACTGCACAAGTTCTTAAACATGTAGCTGCCAAAATTAAAATAAAGTCAAATTTTGTTTTTTGACGTTTCAAAGGATCCTATGATTTAAAAAAAATGTACGGGTATAAAATTGGGGGGAGTTGTAG